GCATTCAGTCTGCAGTGACTGATGAGTGCTGGGCCCCATCCCCACCAACTGCGGGGCAGCAAAGGGAGGGGAGGGGGATTTTGAATCAAGGGATTTCAGAATTCACAACAGTAATTAGGCCCATGCATACCAGGCAGGATCTGGGTCAGGCCTGAAATAAGTCCAGATGATGCGTTCAGTGTGAATGTTTTGTCTTTTGCCCATAGAGTTTTGTTGCAAAAATGTTGGGCGTTCCAGCAAACCGGATTTTGGTCCGAGTGAAGAGAATGGGAGGAGGCTTTGGAGGGAAGGAGACCCGGAGCACTTTAGTGTCCACGGCGGTGGCCCTGGCTGCACACAAGTGAGTTCCAAAGTTTGCTTCTCCCAGCAGGTGCTGGGAAGGATAAGGCCACCTCTGCTAGGAAGGCCTTCTGGATTTCCCCATGTTGAAAGTAGTTTTCCCCTGCTTTGAATTCTCACAGTCCTCTGTTTTTAAAACTCTTGGGCATGGGGCGGGGGGGCAGTAATATTGCCTGTTTCTTTGTGTTGTGACCCACGTGCCCTCGTCTTACCTCCCCTGCCTGGCTGTGAGCTCCCCAAGCGTGAGGACACACCTTGCATCCTTACCTTCCCCACACTGTCCAGCACAGTGTCTAGATAGCAGAGCAGCCCGGCACAGGTCTGCTCAGTGTGCAGGTGGGAAAGGCGGCTTCCCGCTGTTTTCACCCCTGAGACTCATGGGGCGGGCTGGTGTTGAAGGCTCCCAGGTTTCTAATCCTCTTGATACTCCCCTCAGGACTGGCCGCCCTGTACGCTGCATGCTGGACCGTGATGAGGACATGCTGATAACTGGTGGCAGACATCCCTTCCTGGCCAGATACAAGGTTCTGGATGTTGGGGGCTGTGCCAGGGCAGGCAGTGCAATTTTGTAAGGAGACCTGGGGACGAAGGTCCCGAGACCCTGGGCTGCACTCTTACTTTTTGCATGACTACAGAGTAAAGTTCAAAGAAGAAATAGCAGTGAGAGAGATTCAAATAGGCAACAGCAACCTAGAAAGGGAGGTGTGAGGGAGGCTGGCAGAACACCTCCCAAGAGATGCCACAGTGTGGCGTTCACGACTTCTGTGAATTTGCTGTGATCCAGATCTGGTCTTTGGCCAGTCAGGCAGAAACATAATTTGTCAGCAGACTGAGGGTAAAGTCATCGCACAGGGTGGCTCAGGGTTCACATGTGCACAGGCCTGATGAGAGATAAAACTTCCCAGGGGCCTGGACAGATGCAAGTTGTTAGCGTGGGCACCTGCTCTGCCAGACCATGGTTGGGCACTGCCCAGATTTCTCTTGGGGACAGTCTCTTCTATGGGCTTCTGTATATGACCAGTTCCTGTTCTGACCAATGCTCCCTGTATGCATTAGCATGGCCTTGCAGTCTAGCACTATAGACCTGGGAGCTAACCCTCTCCATGCACTGGCCTTGAACACCTCCCCTTTGACCTGTTCTGACTTTATGATTTAACTTCTGGAAAGGGATTGCATTTCTCTTATTCCCAATTCTCATGGGCCTAAAGAAAGTTAACTTGATCTTTTGGGGTCCTAGTTGCCACACTTGTAAAATGGCCTTTAAATTAAAGGGTTTTTTGTTTTGTTATATATTTTTGGTTTTGATGGTTACATCAAAAGGTCAGGGATGTGCAAGCACATTCATGCTCGTGCAAAGTGTAACTTTTTTTGTCTGCTCCCCTCAAAAGCTGGGAGGGGAGTCTCCAATATATTTCCCAGCAGGAAGGATGAGTGTGGGACAAGTGGGCCTGGGATCGAGGAGCTAAGTGTACACCACTGGGGAGATGTTATTTCCTCTCTTCTTCACCGTTATGTTCTGGTGATCTGTTAAGATCACCTGTTTTTCATGGTGTGAGGTCTTGTTTTTTCTGTTTCTTCCAGGTAGCATAAGTGGGAGGAAAGGATCAGAAGTAGACAGAGGGAGGGAACTGTTGATAAATCACTCTCCTTTTATCAGGTTGGCTTCATGAAGACTGGGAACATTGTAGCTCTGGAGGTCAATCACTTCAGCAATGCAGGGAACACCCAGGATCTGTCTCAGAGTGTAAGTAGGACCTGTCCCTGTACCTGGGGGTGACTTGGATGGGCAAGGGCATGCCCCACAGCCTATTGGAACACACAGGCACAGGCCTCTCCAATTCTTGCATATTCATGTTGCAGTCGCTTCCTAACTGGTCCCCACCTTCAGGTTCTCCATCCTTGGTTAATCTCAAAAGCACAGAGATGATTGTATTTCTTCTCTGATTAGAAACCCTTTCTTCCCATTCAAGATATATTGCCAAGAAAGCAAAGTTAGTTACAAAACTCTAAGTATAATGTGGTGATATTGTGTGTATGTAATATTAATTAATTAGTTAATTAATGAATATAACATATATATAGTGATATGCATGAGGAAAGCCTGTAAGAACATACACCAAACTCTTAACAGTGATTAAACTGTTGACATTGACTGAAGTGGTATTGAGGCGGCCCATGCCGTCATTTTCTACATTGCACACTTCTGTGATGTTTGAATTTTAAATAATGAGTTGAATTGCTTTTTTAAAACATAGGATCATTGAAGTATACTTTACATACCATAAAGTTTATCATTAGAAATGTGTTATTTAGAGGTTGTTAGTAAATTTAAAGAGTTGTATAACCATTATTGCAATTCAGTTTTTGAACATCCATTACTCCGGAATGATCTCTTGTACCCATTTGCAGTCACTCCTGTTCCCATTTTCCAGGCCTAGGCAACGACTGTTCTACTTTCTGTCTTTATAGATTTTCCTTCTGTGGCCAAGTCGTATAATAGAATCATACTCTACGTAGCAATTGCTAGGTCATATGGTAGTTTCATGTTTGGATTTTGAAGAAACTGCCGAAGTGTTTTTCAGAGTGTCTGTACCATTTTACATTCCCAACAGCAGAATTCGATGTTATCGTTATTTTTTATTTTAGCCATTCTGAGAGGTATGCAGTGATATCTCATTGTGGTTTAATAAACATTTTTCTAATGGTTAATGATGTTGAATATCTTTGCATGTGCTTATTTGCCACCTGTATTTACTCTTCAGTAAAATGCATGTTCATATCTTTTGCCTATTTTGTAATTGAATTATTTGTGTTTTTGCTCTTGAATTTTGAGAGTGACATATTCTAGAAATTAGTCCTTTAGCAGGTATGTGTTTTGCAAATATTTTATCCCAGTGTGTAGCTTGTCTTTTTACTGCTGAATAGGATCTTTCAGAGAGCAAGAGCTTTAAATTTTGGTGAAGTCAAACTTATAAATGTATAATTTTATTAATAGTGCTTTTGGTGTCAAGTCTAAGAACTCTGCCTGGTCATAGATCCTGATAGTTTTCTCCTGTGTATCTTTCTAAAGGTGTTATGGTTTTACACTTTGCATGTAAGTCAATGATTCATTTTCAATTGTGAGATTTAGGTTAAGGGTTAAGGGTTTTCCTTCCTTTCCTCCCTCCCTTCCTTCCTCTCCCCCACCTTTTTTTTCTTGCCTATGAATGTCTAACTACTCCAGCACCATGATTGAAAAGACCATGCTCCCTTGAATTGCTTTCTAATTTTGCAAAATGTCAGTGGAGCACAGTTGAGTGGGTCTATTTCTAGGTTCCCAATTCTGTTCCATTAATCTATGTGACTATCCCTCCACCAATACTACTCAACCTTGATTACCATAGCTATATAATAAATCTTGAAATTGGGTGGTCTTATTTGTCCTGCTTAATTCTCCTTTTTCAAAATTCTTTATTCTAGTTACTTTACTTTTACATATAAATTTATTTATTTTTAATGTACTTTATTTTTTATTTCTCAATTTTCTATACCTACATCTTAGAATAATCTTGTCTATAT